TCACATCTAATAGGTACTCTAAGCTGTTTTCGCCATCTGGAACTGGTCTTGCAAAACCAGCTAGAAAAGCTGCTACTCCTGTTGGACTTCCCAAATATACAAGCCTTCCCCTGCATTCACAGAACAACCCTGCTTATATGGCGGTGTTTGATTAGGTACTGAGTTTGAGGAAGAACGAAAGAAGGATTTTTATCACACACCATAAGTGCCCTTGAAACATGTAGCATGTACATCATTTCTATGGTTATAAGAAGCTATCGTTCGTCTTTAAACAGATTATAGAAAGAATTGACATACAAATTGAAACGGAGGCATACTATTATTCCTTCGACATGGCAATGTGTAATGCTTGAACATTGAAAAACGATGAACTTAAAGTCGATTAAGGAGGGATAGAATTAAAAAGTACCTAGCAAGGACTGTGATGCGATCAAGGAGCATTTGGATTCTGAAAGAAGGCTGGTGGATTGTCATGAGTACTATACTACCACTTTTAGCTATGTCTTTCACTTTTTCAACAACACTATAAGCACTTGTAGAATCAAGACCAGATGTAGGCTCGTCGAGAAACAGCAGAGATGGCTTATGGATTATGTCAATCCCTATAGACACTCTCCGACGTTCTCCCCCTGACACTCCTCTTCTTCCTTCATCTCCTATGTACGTGTGTGTTGCACTCTACATAGGCACATATAAATTTTACACTATCAATTCACCTAAAAAATAACTACAAGTAACTGTTCATAATCCTTTTGTTGATAGTGAGTCTTGACATACCGTTAAGCCTAATTGCTCGAGAAGTTCATGAACTCTTTTCTTCTTCTCTGCTCTAGATATTGATGGTGGAAGCCTGACTTCAGCTGCAAACATGAACGTCTCGTAAACTGTCAACATAGGAAAGAGCTGATCATCTTGCATTACATAGGAAGATATCATCTTCATATAACTTGTTGTCACCTGCATATCATAATAACTAGACTTCAGTAATCATAACTATGTTTTAACCACATTACATGATATATAGAGACACTTAACTGATTTGCCATCAATTCTAACAGTTCCTTCAAGGCTACCACGAGCAATTCGTCCAGCAATGGCATCAAGAAAAGTAGATTTTCCAGCACCACTAGGCCCCATGATGGCCATGATTTCGCCTCGTAAAGCTTGTCCTGATATATCATTAAGAAGATAAGCTTCTCTGTTGATCCAAACACCATCTTTTTTCACTTTCTTGGTAACACTATATGACAGATTAGTGAACTCAAGACCATGTCCTGGAATTAGCTTGCGCGTTGGCTGCTTCGCCAAATTAACACCATTAATCTTATTCAACTGTGCAGATTTGTCCAAATCCAACAAAGTTTCTAAGCTTCTGTTGGTGTCTGTCCGCTTAAACTTTGCCATTTTTTTTTGTTTTCTGAAGGGACACTTGTTTTTCCCCTTCTCTTTTATAGATACAGGGGATGGAGAAATTGAGAATTGGACAAAATATGGGACGGGCAAAACATAAAAGAAATTGGAATTTAGTTAAGTTTTATACAAAGTTGAATGTTTCTTTTTTCTCTATTTTTGTACTATCTTCTTTTTTCACTTTGGTTTTGTCGTTGGTTTGCTTTGATCGTGTCGTTATGACATATTTTTGTTAGTGATTTGTGGAAATAAATATCTTTGTTGTTGTTTTTAATAGGTGTAGTAGAGACGAATAATGTTAGAGCCAGAAATTTCACAAATGTCCAGAAATGGCACAATAAAAGTTTTTTAATACGTGCAGTATAGACCAGTGGTGGAGCTAGGAATTCAAAAATGATGTACAAAAATTGCACAACAAAAGGTCTTTTCAAAAAGTAGAACCAATGAGATTCAAATACACAAGCATTACTTCATTCCAAGCATTTGAAACCATGGGCTACAACAATTTATTGTGTTAAGGGTGTCAAAATATGTTATTTAATCATTTTGTGTATCATTTTATTTATATATACGATATTTGTTTCTGACGAATGGATTTTACACCTTGATAACCATATAGCTACGCCACTGGTAATTGGTATAGACTAGAAGTTTTCTTGTTTATGCAGAAGGGATGTTTGGTCACGAGATGGGATAGATAACCGATAACTGAACTGATTTTCGAAATTAATTAATACTTATATATAATCAAATATGAAATAAAATAATTTTATATTATATCCCGAGATTATTATTCATTATCTCACCCATCAAAATGACTGAGCGGGTACATGGCATGGATATTTGGCATCAAAATCAGAAGTACGTGCCGTCGTGCCCTTAATTTTCAAGTCAGCCGAGCTTGATTATTATATTTTTATTTATTATCTTTAATCATTTAAAATATCAATTTTCTCTTGGATAAATATTCTCTCTTTCCATATGTCTTATTTATCAATAACATATTTAGTTAAGATCTAAACCAATTAATTGTAGTAATGCGTATGTACTATTCATTTAAATTTTTATTGTTTCCGTGAATAATTATTATTAAGGACAAAATAGAAAAAATATAAATTATATTTTAATTTTTTAAATAACCATTATTTGAATTATCTATTTTTAGTAAGAATGGATGGATCGAAGTAAATAATATTGTAGCTTGTATCAAAGGAAAAATCTTCAAATATATTAATAAGATTTGTAATTTGTCTGGTATATGTTTCGATAATCTATTGTAGGGGTGTACGGGTTGGTTCGGGTTTTTCAAATATCAAACCAAATTATTTGTGTAAAAAAAATTAATTTATTAACCAAACCAAACTAATAAAATTCGAATTTTTTCGGGTTTTTCAACCTCGGGTTGGTTCGGATTTTTCACATACCAAACCAAACCATTGTGTCGAATTTTTAAATTTATAAATCAAACCAAACTAATAAACTTCGGATTTTTTTGTCAGATTTTTGGTTTTTTCGGTAAAGTTTGCATACAAACATATAATTAACTTGTGCTCCAAATATTTCTTTAGTCCAACCAAAATACAATTATCTAAGGTGGATCTTAAGAAAATAACACAAAATATGAGATAAGTACTGATGACACTAAAATATTCAATAAAAAATAATAATGAAATCATCATATAAAATAAATATTGCAAAGTCATAATGAAAATGATCATAATTTAAAAGTACTAAATCATGCTAAAATAAGTTTAATAAGTATTAGTTACATTACTAAATATTTAAGGAAAATTAAATTAGATTATGTATTTTAATTATCTAAACCAATGTATTTTAATTGTCTAAACCAATATTGAATTGATTTCCTTTTTGCATTAGTATTAATTTGATTTTGATTTAAGTTTTATTATAATTATCAACACCTATGAACTATAATCTTTATTGGACCATTCCGAATTCTAAGTTTTAAACTTGAAATAATATATTAAAAGATAAAAACTATGAAATAGTATAAGAAATATTTTAAAATTATAACAAAGTAAATATTTTTATGTATAAAATAAAATTTTAAAATTACATATATAATGTCGGGTTGGTTTGGTCTCGATTTGTTTTTTTTTAGTTAAAACCAAATCAACCCAAATATAGTCGGGTTTTTTATTCCAATACCAAACCAAGTCAAACCAAATCACTAGTCGGGTTTTTTTTCCGATTTGACTTGATTTGTGGTTTGGTTCAGTTTTGGATTCGATTTTGTACCCCCTAATCTACTGACTCAAAAATGTTTTTATTATTATTTAAATATGTCCCTCACACAAAACAGTTGAAGTCATATAGGGGCACATTTGAACTTCTTCAGTTATTTAGGAGTATATAATCGATATATGATTGTTGGTAAATTTTATTCCCTTCTATAATTAATTTAAATTATTTCCCTTGTTTACCAGGTAGCTTTGTCTCCCCATAGTTTTGTTTAAAATTCAAATAGAACAAATTTATATATCTTAATTAATAGCCTATTGGTCTCCATTAAATTGTATTTAAACTTAATTGAAATTGACTCGATTAAATTATTATAAACAGATCAATATGACTTTACTCATCAAGTTCTAAAATAAGCTTGATTAAGATTAGCTTATCCGACTCAAATCAGCTAAACACCTAGAACCAAATGATTCTAATTACAATTAGTTCCTCCATTTTATTTTATTATTAAAAAGCTATCATTCTTAGATGTTATTTATGATATTTTTGTTATTATTTGTTTTTATAGTTATACTCCCTCTCCTCGATTCCATATTAGATGAACATTTTATTAAAAACAATTATCGCATATTATTTGATCACTTATTAAATTGGGATAAGATTAATTATATTTCCTACTTTACATCTACAATTAATATGGCTTTTTGAACGTGAACAATTCTCAATACTAGTTATTACTACTCCCTCCATTTCAAATTAATTGAATTGTTGAGGTGTTTCACACCCTTTAAGAAAAGAAGGTTAAGGCATAAATTCGACATAACTTACCATTTTTACCCTTATTAATTACTGTCAAATTTATGATTAAAATAACTAAATATTAATTAATAGTTAATTCCAATACTAACTAATTAAAGGTAAAATTGGAAGAACATTCTAAAAGTAGCCTTGTAAATTGAACAATTAAGTGAATTTGAAAAATGAAAAATGTCTCAACAATTCAATTAATTTGAAATGGAGGGAGTACACTCTATTTTTTTTATTTTTTATATATATACCAAAAGAGTAAAATTAATTAATATATCAATAATTTCTTAATATCGTGTAAAATAAAAAATGCGCTGTGGAGGGAAGGGAAGGAGTATTTATACTATTATAGTTTCTTTTTTTTAGAGTCAAATGATGATAACTTTGACTAACATTTTATAGTATTTTTGAATATCTAAATTTTTTTGTTTAAGATATCGAATTAATGTAATATAATTTAACTTTGAATTGAAAATTGATCAAAAAGGCAAAATTAAAAGTGGACGAAAAAAGTACTAAGTAACAATCTTGATTTAGTTTATAAGGCGAGTTAGTTAAGACGGTCAAACACGCATTGAAGTAGAATTTCTCCAAAAAAATTAATTACCCATGGTATTATCATTATCAAGAAAGGAATAGAATTCCAAAACCTAAAAACGAAGCAAATTGAACAAATTCCAAAGAATGGTTGCTCGAAGACTCGCCGTTAGTCACAACGACTCCACATTCGACGTCGATTACGACACTGATGATGGCTTCGAAGTCCTCTTCTTCCACTTCCTCCTCTCATTCTCACTTCAATTCCATCTTCCGTTTCATTTGCAAACCTTTTTCTCTTATCTATTCGTTTTTCCAGGTCCTCAAGTACCAGCTCTTCTCTCTCACTTCTGTTCCTCCCGATCAACAAAAGGTATAAAATGTGATGAATTGTGTTTTGTATAATGTCCGCATATTTTGCATTTGCTTGTCAATTTTAGCCTTGTTAATTGGACTTTGAGAAGATATTGGAAGATACCAGTGAACAATCGTGTTTTTAAGTGTTTGATTTGATTTGCTAAAACTGAAAGTGATGAGAAGATATTGGGAGGAACAATAATCAGATTATATCGATAATTCTTATCTCGATTCTGACGTAGCAATATGTATTTAAAGTTGAAGTTTGTTATTTATGATATTCAGAGGAGAGATGATAAGATTGTAGCATTTACTATTCTGATCGCAAGATGTTCATTTGATAAACTTGATAAAAAAATTGAATTGAAGAGGTGCAATGAGATGAATGTGTCCATAAGATTTGTGTTTGCATGAATATGCTAGCGAAATTGAGTATTTGATTTGTTGAAAATGAAATGATTGTGAATTTGAGTATTTGATTTGTTAAAATTGAATTGATGAGAAGATATTGGGGAGAGATGATCAAATTGTATCCGACGAGTCTGATCTCGCTTCAATATCGGATAAGCTTCGGTTGGTGTCAATTGATGAAGTTGAGGAGGAAATAGTAGCCGAGGAGAAAGAGAAGTTAGAAAATTTGGCAATGTCAGATGAAGAGTTGGCTCGCCTTATTCAGGTTCTGCATTGAATTTCGGTTTAAGTTGCGAAGCATTCATGTTATTTGATGTCAGATGGTTTGCTTGAACTGCTAATGTAATTGCAATAGAAGTAGTGTTGAGCTATGTTTTTCACTTTGAATAAATATTACACAAAAAATGAATGTGATGATGGTAGTGTGATGCTCGAGGTAAGCAAAAGAGACATAAAAGTGTGAGCTAAAATCAGCTGGAGCTTAAAGTTGGAAGTAATTTCTTTGCAACAACTAAGAATTGGACTTTCAGTCTTGATATATGGAACTTAATATATGGGATCACACTGGGTATGCTGTTATTGTAATCTATGGGTAAATCATACTGGCTTGAAAAAATCCCAACTTTTAAAGAACTTCCCAGTCAACAATGTGAAATGATTAAAATTAAACAAAGTATCGAGTTCTTTTTTTTGTTATTTCAAGATGAGATTTTTTTGAACATAGTAAACAAAAACTTGATTTCTAGCTAGGAATAAAAGAAATCTAAAGAATTTACATTCCTTTTCATTTATATGATTCTTTTTTCCTTAGACTAGTTTCACGGCACGTGTGTATTGTATATACAGTATACAATGTTGTAAAATAGAATTAATATTACTAAATTAATGCTTTTTAGTAAATAATTATAATTGAAAGAACACATGACAAGTGTTTTTAAGTAATTAATACAAATTGTCATAGAGTTACTTGTATTTTGAGATCAAAATAAACAAATATCATTAAAACATTTCGAAATACATTCAAAATTTAAATGTGGGAGAAAGTGACATTTCTTTAGTAGTATTTTTACTACACTCAATTTTGTAAGCAAATCTAACCAACAAAATTTTAAAAAAAATTATCAATATAGAAAATGTCACCAATAGCCTTTCCTCTTCAGGTTATAAACATAAATGATAGACACCATTTAAGTACAATTTTTCTATTAAATATTCATACTTGAAATGTAGTATGTGCATGACACTAATAAGGATTAACATAAATATTTCAATATTTTATCTTTATACGCAATCTATCTTTTACAAAATATTGTTACTCAATTAATACTTGAGTAAGACTATCATAAAGAGCTAATTTTACAACAACAAAAAAAAGGTACTTTGTTGTTATAACGAATGATGGTTAAATAGAGGTTTGAGTGTAGATCATATTATAAGTAAAAGTTAAAATCTATTTTTGAAATAGTAGATTTAACATCCAAAGTAATAATTCAATGGACTATGTTGATGCCCGTTATTTTAGCAAAATTAGAAAGAAACTCCTTCGTGAGGGTAAGAGAACAAAATATGAAAAAAAACTAAGAAAAAATATCTTACCCAAATCATGTGACTTTTTTCATATTTGTTTAGTATTATTGTCTTTCCCACAACTTTTTGTCACTATTAACTCATGAAAATTGTAAGAAAAAATACGACTGTGAATTGTTGAATGATTTGCTATAATTTCTAATGTGATACCTCGAATTTCGTTGAATTTTGAACTTTATCAACAGTTGCAAATAACCCTTGAGATTTTTAAGAAGAAGAAGAGTACAAAACTTTAAAAAAAATTGTAGATTAAAAGTGAGAGGAAACTCCACTATTTATAGCTAACAAATAGTAGTATGAATAGCTTTCTCAAAAAAAAAAATTTCTTTCTCAAAAAATAGTAGTATGAATAGGTGCTAATTGTGCCTTATCAGAAAAGTTACAACCTTTTGAAAAAGTCACTGCTTATTGGAAAAGTCACAACCCTTTGGAAAAGTTACAACTCATTGAAAAAGGCACAACCCTTTGGAAAAATCACAATCCTTCGGAAAGTCACAACCCATCGGAAAAGTCACAACCTCTTTGAAAAAATCACAACCCTTTAATGTCAAAAGGTATCTATTTTTAATATAATACAAATAATTAAATTAATAAATAAAATTAATTGAGTATTTTTAATTGGGGGTATTATAGTAATTCAACATTTATGTTTGGGAGTTCATGATTTTAAGGTAGTATAGATAAGGTTAATTTTATTTTCCACAGTGATATACTGATTTTTAACTAGCATGCCTTATCTACAGCAATTAGGAACTTATTGTGGGTGGAAACAATACAATTGACCCTTCATTTTTTTCATCTTAGACTATTTCAGTTGTATGACGAACTTAGTTGGAGTTTAAAGAAAACCTTTCTTTTTGCATTTGCTTTACCTTTAAACTATGAGAGCTAACTTGTTTTTATCATTTTATGTTGATAACACTCAGTTATTATCATGTGATTGTACATCTAGGCAGAAGAAGAAGCTCTTATGATGCAGCATTTTGTTTCTAGAGAAAGTAAGGAGCAAGTTGAACAGCAGATACAGCCATATGTAAATAAAGTTCAAATGGTATATCTTTTTGTGTCTGATTTTCTTTTGTCCATCTTAACTTGTGTTCCATAGTTGTTTCTCCCCCTTTAGCAGATGAAGTAAGAGATGCTCTTTAGGTCTTCTACTTCAAGAGCCAACACAGTATAACGTATTTCATAAATTAATTTTTTTTAAAGTTGGATATACCTTACATATTAAATACTCTCAGCAGTTTTTCATGTTTCAAGAATTCAAGTTTCTTTTATGATTCACTTTTGTATGCTACTTGATGTCCTTTTACAATACCAACAGTGCACACAAAATCCTGTAGTCAAAATGATATTTGTTTTCCCCCAATATGAGTAAAGTGTGTAAATTATGCCATATCCTTAATCCCACTTTTCTCTTAATATTGTGCTGAGATGGATAGAGTAATTCATCATTGACTTTTTGTTTGAAAAGGTGAAATGCAAAAGAAAGTGGAATGGAATAAAATCATTTTTGTTGATAGATAACAAATATCTTTCCTCATGTTGTAGTATGAAGATCCACATCGGCAAGAGATGGCTCGAAAGACTGTGCCTGTTGACAAGCTTGAGGAGAAAGCATTGATTTCTTTGGGAAGGGTTAGTACTATCATCTTGCTGGTCATTTTGTTGTGCACAAATTGGTAACTCTGTTCAACCTATATAATATTTAACCTCGAACAAGTCATGAATGAGGTTCTTTTTTTTTTTTTTTTGGAAATAGATTGAGATGTTGAGCATGTATTCATCATGTAATAAGATTTACTTCCCTTTCCTTCATTTTAGTTAATGAAAAACCTTCTCAAGAGTGGGAAACATAGATATTACTATCTCTCCTCTGATGTTTAAGGGATAAAATTTGTAAGAAACTAATGTTGGTTGATAAGTGTCCCTATTAGAACTTTGACGAACTGATTCATGTGTATCTTTTAATATTTTGGCTTTGTTTCTCTTTTCTTGAAGACTATTGAGTTTATGTTAATACCTACCTTTCCAAAAAAATATATTTGAGTTAACTTTGGACGCAAATTTTTCTTTGCATCTTAATTTTGTTACTGATAAGAAGAGATAGTGAAATCAGTGTAAAATGTGTTATTAGGGGCCTCCGACCATATATATAGCTTTACTGAGTAATTAGATTTTTTAAAATGGAATTAAAGGAAAAAGGATATAGTATAGCATTAACAACAAGAACAATTTATGTTTATATAAATCATAAATCAACACAAAATGTTCTATACTTCTTACTTGGCGCAGCTTATTACAAGAGTTGTGAGTGGGATCTTAGTTTTGGTTTGAATATGAGAATTTGTGGGTTGACATCAGCCAGAATTTCTGACATCTGTGCTATAAATGCTTAGGAGGGAAACTACAAACCAACAAAAGTTGAACAGGATAATGCTTTCCTATTACAGCTGCTATTCTGGTTTAAGCAGTCATTTCGGTAATTTCTTGCCTTTGCTGCTAATTCAATTTTTCATCACTAAGGACTGAACAATTTTCACTTCATTCTACTTCCATGCAGTGACGTTGTTATGTGTATCTATAATGCTGAAATGCAGTACTGGAACTAATATGGGTTCATATATTATGATTTATGAGACCCGAAATCATCTAAATCTTATGTTTTAATCAAAGTGTTCTTCCAACACATTTGCATGTGGTTTTCTCCTATTCTTTTTTTAGTTTTTGTCAAAGACAGCCTATGATGAACATAGGTGGTTAGAGCGCAACATGTGATGTGTGGGTTTAGGCACAAGTCACAGGCTCGAACTCTGTTGCAGGCAAAAGCGTGGATTTCTCTGTTTCCAAAAAAAAAACTTGACTTTTTTTTTGTTGAAGGTAACAGTTATATTAATATCGATAGGTATATTACACCAGAAACTGTGCAGGCCCTCTCAAAAGTAGGTCACTTACAAAATGGGTTCCTATGTGTAAAAATACTTACAAACTTCCAAGAACATCAGATATATCTTCACTTTGTCTTACCTAGACAGTTCGTTTTATACTTTTAAATGCTACATTCCTTGCCCTCAATATTTATGATTCCTTTCTGTCCAGACAGACCACCAAATACGAGCTGGGACAATCTTCCATCTTTTCTTTCTTCTAGCTGCATTACCATCACTGTTCCAGCAGTTTAACACTTCTTTGATTCTTCCTCGCATCTCCCATTTTATCTTCCTCAAGTTGATGAAGATTTTTCATAGCTGATCATTCCATTTACAATGCAAGAAAATATGGCTAATTGTCTCTGCCTGTTCATTTCAAAGCTAGCATCTGGGGCATAGTTGTATACCTTTCTTGATCAACTTTTCATGTGTCAGAACTTCTTCTTTGGCCAATAGCCACGTGAAGCATGTTACCTTATAAGGTACTTTGACTTTCCAAACCATCTTTCGCGGCCAAGAGGCCACCTGATTGTTGCATGAACTGAGATCTCTGTAAGCAGAATTTACAGAGAACTTCCCTTTGTTGTCACACTGCCAGATCAGGCTGTTCTCCTTTACTGAGAAACCATTGAAGTGGGAGTGAATTTGGACGAACTCTGCTACCTTATCTATCTCCCAATCATTTAACAGTCTTCTAAAAACTGAGATTCCATCCTTGTCCTATCCACATGTCAGCCACTGATGCTTGTCATTGTACTGCACCTACATGTTGGTGCATATGGAGGTTAATGTAGGATCTTGTCAAACCATCTCAGACGATCTCTCATTGTTTCCTCTGCCTGTGCTATTTGCACCCTTTGTTGGATGCAGTGATATTCTCCAAGCTGTATGATTGTACATTGATTTTAGCATCCACATTTCAATGACATTCAATGTTAGGACATGTTGGGCCTTAGAGGCCCAAGGATTACTCTCTTAAATGACAATATTCTCATTTCTTTTCTGTCATTGTAGGTGGGTGAATTCTCCTCCTTGTGATAGCTGTGGTAATGATACCAGAAGTCAAGGCATGGGGGTTGCAAATTCTTCTGAAACACTTTATGGTGCTTCTCGAGTTGAACTTCATCGGTACGTTCGGAAAGATAGTTACCTTCTACATTCTATGTGGCATTAGATAGGTTCTAAGGGAAATTATCCATACCCGGTTTCTAAAAAGTAATTGGTAGTTCTAAACAAAAGAGTTTACTTTTGTAGCAAGCTTCTACATTAATGCAAGTGAGTTTCTTCCAGGAATCCTTATCAACTTTTACTGAAAGCGTGCTCTTTTGATAATTTATGTTCAAAGTGTATTTCCTGTGATATAGTATAGTTTCTCTGAGTTCTGTGCTGTTTTTTCCTCAGTAGAAATATTTTGAGACCATTGCTCTTTTGATAATTTATGTTCAAAGTGTATTTCCGTGATATAGTATAGTATCTCTGAGTTCTGTGCTGTTTTTTCCTCAGTAGAAATATTTTGAGACCATTGCTAGCTCTATATGACTAAAGCGGTAAATTTAAGAATTCATTGCCTATTTTAATAACGCACAGGAAAGAAAAAATCCTGTCTCTTAGGGTACCCAAAGTTATACCAAGAGGTCTACAACTAGTATCTGCTTTGCAATTTTTTAAAATCAATTGTCAGAGGTGAGTGTTGTTCAGAGGAGGCATCATTGGGTTGTCAACTGTAAGAGAAGAAGCATTACTAGCTAGGCGTCAGTTTTTCATTTTTTCTGTCACTCCATCATTTTGCACATGTGAGGATCTCTTGGAGCTGCTTTTCTATTCTGACATCTTTTAAGCAATAAAATTTTCTTTCTGTAAGGATATGCGTTTCTATTCTCTCTATCTCGTTTTACAGGAAAATAACACAGCTGTCTTATAACATTTATCTCTATTGCCCACAGGTGCAATTCATGTTCAAATATCACCCGTTTCCCAAGATACGACGACCCATTGAAGGTATTGGATACATCTGCTACTGGAAGATTTTGTATCAAAAAAAAGATTTTGTATCACAATTTCTGACTGACATTTATGCAGCTTCTAGAGACGAGAAAGGGGCGGTGCGGGGAGTGGGCCAACTGCTTCACACTCTATTGTAGGGCTTTTGGTTATGATTCTCGTTTGGTAAGTATCTTCTCCAAGAAAACATATTTCGATGCCAACCATGTTAGGTGATTGCCGTTTCTCTCTATTGCTGTATGGTGGATTCAATTTTCATAAATCCTTTGTGATTGTTCTTCGCTGGAAGCTTTAGTGACTGGTGAATTTCTCCTTGTGCATATGATTAAAATTAGGAAAACGACAAGTATGCAAATAAAAACATTGAAGAACCTACAGCAACGAAGTGCTGTTTTAAATTGATTTACTGGAAGACCAAACTTCTATAAGTTGAACTATTCACATATAGCTGAATGCTTGTGCCCAGGGCTCTTTCCACTAATTGAGTACTAAAACAGAATTCATAAAAGACTTGCATCGATTATCTTGTCACCAACTTCCTCAGAAAATAAATGCCAGGAATTTTTTGCTTTTAGCCTTTTTGAACTGGTGTGAGAAGTTTTATAAAGAGATACTAACTTGAGAATGAGATAGGAGTGCCATCTCTTCTTTATATAGGTCTGGGTGAATTTAATCTTTCTGTTTTTTCTATTCAGAAATCCAAATTACAAGAACATAATTGCAATCAATTTTACCAGCGGGAAAGATAAAGAAATAAAATGTGTAATAAACTCCCATAAATTTCTGGAAGAGGAGTGCAAAGAGTGACTACCCTGGACACTCGCCTAAACCTGAAGTGTTGAAGATGTGCACTTGCCTGAAAAGCAGTGCAATATGCTTCAGACTTTCAATTGCTAAATTATTCACTCTTCATTATTTAGTGCCAACTCTTGTATCCTTTTCAGGTTTCTCTACAAGATCATATATATTCCGCATTACTGCATTATGCTGCTTTTAGAAAGAAACCTTTGTCAAGTTTGTTGACCTAATCATGAGTATCTTCATGGGCTCGTATTGCTATTGAAGTTGAGATACCTCCCCACCACCGCCACACACGCACACACACAAACACAGTTTTGGAAGGAACTTATCTTCTCCTTCTATTGTTCCACTTTCCAGATTTTGGACTTCACCGATCATGTCTGGACAGAGTGCTTTTCACCGTCTCTGGGAAGGTAATATCTTTTCACAGGGCTTGCTCAATAAATTTGTTGCAATGATCCACAACACGAAGTGATTGGGAGAAATAGTGCAGATGGATGCATCTTGATCCTTGTGAAGGAATATATGACAATCCTCTATTATATGAGAAGGGGTATTTTCTCTTTGCCAATTTTACATCTTAGTAGATGTAATAGTATTGTAACTAATGTAGCAATAGCATAATTCTTAATGTGATGTATTGCCATCAAATTTGCTCTTCCCTTCTTATTATATGGAGTACTAGTTTTAGAGAACGTGCTCTACGTGTGTACTCCATATCAGTAAGTATAAAACTTGACAATGTTGTACAAATGTTATTAAACTGTGTATACTTGACGTGCAGTTGTTAAGTGTCATTTTGAAAGTATTTCCAGAATTTGATATTGAGTTAAAAAGTATAACAATTATGGATATTCGGATAATTTGTATCTAATTATAGCATTTCTTAGAATCCGTATACATTTTGGTACATAAATTTTATTGGAGTGTTTGATGAAAGGGTGATGGGCATACAACATACTATTGTATACCCAAAAAAACCAACATAATTTTTCACAAGAAGTTTTCTTTTATTTTTTAATCTTGACTAAGAAACTGGTGCAGCTAATATTTCATTATCAAATGAAATAAAACCACTTCCACACATTACTTCATTACTTGAACCTAATGTAAGCGTGTAGTATAATGTTTTACCTATTACTTGACTTTTACAAAATAGTTATGTTAAATAATTCAAATAAGGAAAGGATTTATACAAGATATTAAATATTAGGACTCTCTATATAGTTTATCTCCCCAGACCCCACCTGTGGGATTCCACTAGGTATGTTATTGTTGTATATAGTTTATTGAAGGAAGGGTTCAATGCAAACAATTAGTGATCTAGAATTCCTAAATATTATGGGAAAACTTAAATGACAATTTGTCCAATGAGAACTATTTTTATGGATAAAAAAGGCAGATGGCGTTTTGTTAAGGAGCTTTGTGTTATTAATATAGTATAGAAAATGGAAATGGCTGTAAATCAGAATCTAGGAGTTCCGCAGGCATGTAAATAGCTGTTGCCACTATAATGGTCGGTAAGTCATTGAAGATTTAAAAGAAGCATGCTTTGAAATGATGAAAGTGTGTGAAACTTGGTGACTAAAGAACCAAAGCTCCATTTAACAATGGAAAGTTTCGGTATATCATACTTATTTTTGAGTACTAGGAATATTTTCATTTTAACTAGTGCTTCACATGTTCATGAAATATTTTAGAGAACAAATTTACACTCGTACTAAAAATCCGCTATGTGTCTGTTGTTGCAAAGTTGCCATTCATATCATTATTTTTGTAACTGTCTTCTTATTTTTGGTATTTCAACCTTTTCCAACCCACCTTCTTATTTTTAGTGTTTCAACCTTTCTCTGAAGATGGAAAAAGAGTTTGAACTATGTTTTTGCTATTGCAAAAGATGGCGTGCATGATGTCACTAAGCGTTACACCAGGAAGTGGCCTGAGGTGAACTGTTAACTGAGTGTCCCTTTATTGATACTTGTATGTGGTCATGAGTTTCTGCAATTAAGATAAATATTTTTGATCATGAAGGTTCTTTCTCGGCGAAACATCATCTCAGAGCCTTCTCTTGCAGCTGTTCTCTCTGATATAACTAGAGAACTTCGGAAAACATTATCTGCTGAAGTGATTTCAGCACTGGAAGAACGGGACAGGATCGAAATGAATGTCATTGAGCAAGAATTGCATCGTAAAGATGACTCTTCAGTCTCATTACCTGGAAGATTGAGCGGAGACAAGGAGTGGCGCATAGCAAGATCGGAATTTGTCTCGGATGAAAAGAACTCTCTAAGCTCTTCATCTTGTCCAGTTCGCAAATGCATAGATGATCATGTCACAAATATCTACAGTGCCTTTACCCCTGTTCTTTCAAAGTTAATAGAGTACTCGCCATCTAAAAAGGCAGCTGCTGAAATTCTTGAGATTTTCAGAAAGATTTTAGTTGATCTAAAGAATTCACCTTTCAGAACCAGGAGAATTTCTGTGAAATCAGTTTCAAGTAGTTCTGGTGATATTTTCAGTAAGATGTTGGCATCTTTTGACCAGTTACTCAATGCTCTTTCTTTGAAGGGTGAGTTAGGTGTTAATGGGAGTATTGATATATGTTTAGCTTCTGATCCTGTTAAAACTTCCGTTGCGCTGCCTGTCGTGTTCCATGCACTGGATGATGTGATTTACAATATCGGACAATGTGCTAGACTAGACAGCAGGTCCCTCTCTTGGCCACTGCTTAAGTTGAACAGATTATGTTCTGGTCTAGTCCTTGCTAGTGGGGAGGAGCTTCCTTTTGGAATTGTAAGTAACATTGACTTGTATAATAAAAACTGTTCCTTCCAAAAAACTTCTAGTCATGTGGAAGAGAAGTTCCTGATATAGTTAATAGGCGAAGAATCTTAATTCTCTTGTTCGAATACATCAGGCTACATGTGCATTTGATGGAACACGGATGTCAAAGTGGGAAGAACCAAATGGTGCAGCAGGTATGCTTAAGCAAAAATGTAACTCTGGCATAGCATCATTGTTTCTCATATATGTCAGCTGCGTAAGCCGTAAGGTTATTTCTCTGGTTCTTCTCGATGTGTTGCTTCTTTATGTTCATCATTAAGTTAATAGGTATTGTTTTGACGGTGAATATTGTGTTGTATAGTTCGTAACTTTTTCTTTTTTTTTTGAAACGGGTAACTTGTATTCCTCAGCATTAAGGGCTATGCTGGCCACCTCCAAAAAGTATTAACAGAGAAGAGAGAAAAAAAGAAGAAAAAAGAAACAGAATAGTTCATAACTTTTGCTTTGGTAGCTTCAATATAGGGCATCCTTTCTCTAGTTTTTAAGTTAACATCATCCAAGTCTTCATACCTTACAAAGCCTTGAAAATCCAAGGGCATCTTTTTCTTCTGAGGTGTGTTAACTGTGAAGTATCTTAGCTGTCAAGTGTCAATATGGCACTGTCTCCAGAACTTGCCATTAGAGTGGCATGTGAAGTGAATTTGAAATATCAGTTGAAATTTGGTGTAATGCTGAATTTCTACTGATAGTGTGGTGTAATGCTGGGTTTCTTGGAATACCTACAGCTCTGGGGGATTCAAATCCAGCAGAACTGTATTTTGCCTCAGCACCAGCCTTCTACTGGAGCTTCTATTTAATAAATTTATCTTTATTCATAAAAAAAAAAGTTGTTTTCCATTTAGGTTGAAGAGGTCCTTAAACAAGAGAAAAGAATCAGTAAAATGGAAAATCCGGTAACTCATGGATGGAGTTATTGTGAAGTTTAGAGCTAAAGAGTGAGGAGAAGCTAATATAACAACTTTGATGTAGTGGTGCCTGCTGAATAATGGTCAGCTAAACCATGGGGTTCATGCTTTTCTTCTTTCCCAAATGTTTCTTAACATAACAAGTAGCTTATAGTGCAACACCATTTTATGCATCTTCTTCTGGATAGTTCCCAAATAGTAATTGCAGTAAGTCTTTATTTTCTTTAGGAAGCCCAAGATTTTCCCCCTAGTCCAAAGAGATCACTGCTATCTCGATGGTGTATATGTAGATGATTAAATATCATATTGATGACCACTAGACATTAATGTACTAAATTTTTTATAAGAACATTATTGTACTTAAAGAGATATCTTCTTGATTCTGATGGATGTTTTCTACTAGTTGGTGAAAATATTGTCAGCCATATCCATGTCTTGATGCAATAACCCTGGGGGAACATTTAAGACCAGAGGAGGATGAAATCAACCAGCTTTTAGTAAATTCAACATAAATAATTTTAGTGTGAATGTGTTACGAGCTTCTCATTACATATGATGCACAAGTTATTATTAAGCAATTGTTGCAAGTTTAAGAACATCAGTTGTTTTCAAATTTGAGGATGTTGTGTGAAGGAAGGTGCCCCTTCAGGCGCCAATTATGAACATAAAGAAGGTTCCTGAATCTAACAACCTCTAAAGGTATCTCAAATTAAGGAATTAAACGAAAGGGATTTATATTGGATGAAAAGGTGAATAAATACGTATTGATTTTTAAGGGATAAACACAGGTTTTTGTATTTATATTTTCAATTATCCTTTTTCATTATGGTTATTGTTCTATCTGATACTTGTATTCTGCTTTATAGGATGTTGGATCATATATCAAGTAGCTGATAACCGGATGGTTGAGCTTGTGGCATATGAGTTTATGTCTGCTAATGATGCTCCAGAGAGAGATCCAAAAGACTGGTATGAATTATCGGCTTCAAAGTATAGTTGTGAAAAAATCTTTTCCATCCTGCAAGTAACTGTATGTGTTTCCAGCTTCTGAGACAGATATAGTGGTCTGTTCAAGGGGGCTGGTGTTGTCCAACTGAAAACAGTATCTAACAAATGTCGATTGATTCTTTATAAAATTGTGGCTTTGCGCCGGATCATTTAAGGCAATATAGGTAGTAAGTCCAACAGCCCACTACGTAAGCTGGCTAACAGGGATATATAGCTGTGTATGAGAACATATTACTGGAGAAGTGTGACAACCAGAAATGGATTCATTTTGGCTAGACCAAAATCAACTATATAGTTGACATGGGATTTCTCTAATGCTTAAATAATGGGAAATGCATTTATGCATCTTGTAAAATCACCAACCCTTCTATTTATGTCAATATAAACAAATGATTAACTAACCCCTCTATCCCTTTTGCTTGGTCTGTGGAGATGTATATGTTTTCTCTCTATCAATTTCAATCAATACTTAAATATTTTCTTCCGTTACTTCTATTCTGAACGCCGTGTTCTGTCAAGTAAAGAGGTTGTTTCCACGGCTCGAACCCATGACATCCTGTCAAGTACCATCATATAAAATGAAATTGAAGGAATACTTAATATTGCAGAAAAGGAAGGGGCTAATTGTTTTTAAGGACCAAAGCTAGAAGGCAAAAAGACATTTAAGAAATAGTTAGTGTAGAGGTTGCGTAAAGGTTGGGGTCTCACTGGGTATGTTGTTGTTGGTTTGGCAGTCAAAGAATCCCTAAAAAAGCAAAGATGGAAACAGAGTGGCAATAGGATAGCCAATATAGAGTGGGATGAGGAAGACTTGGAGTTTTTGGAGGAACAATTTAATCAATGAAATGGTGAAATTATTATAATGGCTCCAAATAGAATCAAATATATACTGTGCAAGATTAACTAACTGAAGTTGGTGAGATAAGGTTGTGTCAGTTGTGTAACTCTCTCTGAGCAGTCCTAGGACCTAGAAGGTTGAAGTCGGTGAAAGCATGACAATTGGCATGATGAAATTGAAGTTAACAGTAGTGCAACTGCTGCTTGCTGAAAGCAGATGGTTTGATACCAGAATGGCTGCTTTTTTTGTTTTTGATAAAGATGGTGTCTGAGCTTGTTTCCACAACTCAACTATTCCTCTGTATACAATTGGTTGGTTTTCTTAGTCAAGCGAAGTTTACAAGTCTGATATTTCTCCTATTTAATTCCATATCCTCATATGTAAGTTCAAAATAGAATTGGTGTCATAGTTGCCAATTTGTTATAAGCTTTGGTGACACTTAAGTTCTCACTCGTTTAGATTGTTGACTATTTTAGAGAATCAGCTAAAGTTTTGGTCAGCTTTTGGAAGTATGCAATAGAAATCCTTACCATCATTGCATATTAGACTGAATACTGATATCCATTCATTACATTAGGGTGCTAGAAGGAAGTGAAAATGGAGGTTCCAGTTGGCATCTCTTGGATAAACGAACTTCCCAGATGTTTGACAAACGTTTCCAAAGAAAAGCATTTACAGTCAGTTCACCCGGCTATTTGTCAAATGCATTCAGGTAAAGTTTTGTTGGAGGCTCGTAAGAGTTCACTTCTTCATGATAGGATCCAATTTCTGATCACTATTAGAAATGGCAGGTTTAGGTTTCTAGCAGTTCAAGGCAAGAATGCAACTTCAAGGTTTCAGATTGGCAGCATTGACCTCTTTGCAGGTAGCAGTTAATGTCCCTAAACCATATTATAAACTTCCCCTTTCTCTGGCTTAGGCTTCAAAGCCAAGCTGTGAGTTAGAAGTTTCACCAGTTGACCTATTTATATGTTGTATTATTTGTATCTACACTTGTTGTATGCACATTCTTCGGGCAATGTAAAATTGTCAAACCTTTAACATACTCGTTTTCTATTCCCTTCCAATTTTACTTTTTCTTATATCGCCATGACCTTTGGTCGTTTGTTTGATGGGTTAAGACTTAAGGATAACAATTTCGGGATAAAATGTATCTCACATTAGGTTATGGGTATTAATTAGTCCTGGTATTATTTTATCTTATCATTTGTACCAAAATGGTGGGATTAATTCTTAGAAGGTGGGATAGTTAATCCCATGGAATAATACCGTTGTCTAGCTCACCCTGCATACATTAGTTGTGCGGACTCTTCACTTTTAATGCCATACCTGTATCGAATTCTTCAAAAATATACTACTTTTGATGAATCTAACAACGTTTGTTGACATTTTTGAAGAGTCTGAACAACATAGTTGCATTCTAAATGAACCTTATTGTTTTGAGATGAATAGAATTGATTTGTAAATTTTCAAATTTCTAATAAATAACAAAAAAATAAACGAAACGATAAACAATTAATATAACCACATGAATGGAAAGATTATGATAAAGGGAAAATCGTGTCAATATTAAAGGGTAAGTGCATCGATTGAAATACTTGATTAATTGTGAAGGTTACGTTTGTGGAGTTGCATGTTATTGACGGGAGAAAGTCAAAAGATCACATCATTATAATAGAGAATGAGAAAATCATAAATAGTCTCAGAAAATAATTATAAGAAGAATATCATGAACATAGATAATGAGATAATTCCCACTTGCATAAGAATTGTACCAGATATTTTCTTTGAACACTTCTATTTAATAAATAATATATTTATATATTTCGTTTTAATAAAATATTTAAATTTTTATTTATGACAAAATCATATGTTATGTTCTTTTTTTCAAATGCTTTGGGAAAAAATTGTGCTTTCAACTTGCTCCTCAATTTTATCTATTATTATCTGTAAACAAAAAATTGATACCTTGAGAGTGATTCAATCGACTTATCCTTATGATCCATTCTTTGATTGAGTTTGTTAATATTAATCTTTTCCTTTATTGTCTCGCTATAACAAGTCAAAATAGTTTGATATACTACTAATTTCATGATTTAAGGAAAAATTACTTATATACACATTTTTACTTACCTTATTTTCTGTTATTTCCTACCAATTTAAAATATTACAAAAATCCCTTATTTTTTCCCAAATCTCAATTCTTCCGGATACATAACTATCCAAGGCTCAAACTCACGTTTCCTCATTCCTTTTTTCTCTCTTTTAATCCCTCCCTATTTTCACTCTCACAATCTTATCAGTTACAACATTTATCTCAATTTGAAGTTCAAGAAAAATCTCTCTCCAGTCAATCAAATATCCAAATTTCAATAATCAGATTCATAGACCAATAAAAAGATGAGAATGCAATAGCTTTAAAGAATTTCATATTCCAATAAAATTGGTTGTACCATACAATTAACACAGAAGAGTTGTTGGCTGTGGAAAGAGGCGTCTGCTACCGTTTTGCAACCAAGTTGTTGCCACTGCCACTTTTAGCATTTTTGCTGTTCATCGAGTAGTTATATGTTATATTGACCTAAATATGTAAGGCTGCAACTTAAGGAAGCTATTGTATGAATGATGTAGCCATGAAACAAATTTATCGAATTCCCAAAATCTTTTCAGGAACACATACATTAAACATTATAGTTGTAGACGAATCCATGAGTGACGCCATTGTTGAAAGTGAAAAAAAACTACGAGAGTTGATACAGAGCAAATGAAAAGGCGTAGAAGGATTTCTTCGTCATTTTTCTGCTTTCAGCAAATCAGATTGTTGATTTTTTTCCCGAGTTTTTGTTGTTTATCTTTTCCTTATGCATATGGGTTCAGTTTTTTCATGTAATTAGTTGTTTTTGTTTCTTAAATTAATTTTTATTGCATTCGTTTCAATATTATGATACATTACAATTTTATCAAGAGTTATGGTGGCTCCGGTAAGTTTTTTGGGTCGAGATCCATGATTGACGTCATTGTTGGAAGTGAAAAAAAAAATTACAAGAGTTGATACATAACAAATGAGAAAGTGTGGAAGGATTTCTTCATATTTTTTTTTGCTTTTAGCAGATCAAATTATTGATATTTTTTTTTTATTCTTTGTTGCTTTCAACAAATCTTTTAATGTATCTAGTTGATTTTGATTCTTAAATCAATGTATAAGTTGTTCGTTTCACCTTTACGATACATTACAATTTTATCATGTACAATATATCATTTTGAAATATTAATTTTGATACATAATCCTAATTTATTGAAACGCAAAATATGTATCATGTTATTCATGTACATAATTATGTATTAAATACATATCTATTACAAATTTCGTTACCTTTTACTACCAGATACATATACCCAACCTTCTTCAAGTAGAAGACTGTATCTATAGACACTATCAAATATTACTATTGATATATAAACACTAATGTTTTATAACAAAATCCGTTTGTATCATATTCATAGTTATGTTTATGACACATAACGTTGTTATGTATCATAGTTTGTTTTTGTATATGATACATAACTGTATAAAATTGTCGACTTTATTTTTTAATTTGTTACGATTTTGAAGAGATTTGAGAGAAGAAAAATTTGAAATTTGAATTGTTTGGATTTGTTATTTGGGAGAGATTAACACCAATTTAATTTGCATGATTTGTGGAACTCACATTTAATTTTATATTTAATTTCCTTTTTAATCTCAACAAACTAGTTGTATGATGTATCAAATGTGATGTATCCGGAAGAATAAAATATATCCGGATGACATCAATTTTAGGAAATTTTTGTAAATTGAAAAAGAGTAGGAATAAGATGTAATTTGCTCCTTACACTGTGGGATTCCTAAATTTTTTACGTAATAAATATACTTACTCTTTTAACTCAATTTTAATATTTGGGGTTTAAAATTAGATTTTCTAATCCTTGATTCCATACTCTTTTTAATAATATTTTCACACTTCAAACATACATATTTGCAATTAAAAATCGTTAAATCTAACTTCAGACTCTATCGCTCTAATGTACCTAAAATTAAAATGGTAAATACAATATAAATTTATTAATCTTGAATATTCGAATATGAAGTTAAGTTTGATAATCATCCACTTCAACATTAATCTTGCGAGCATAAATTGATTAAGAGGTGATTAATCTTTTAATTTTTTTAACTTTTTTTTTTGTAAATTTCGCAATTTTTTTTTTTACATGTGTTCGTTCGCTTGCCCTATAAAAGCGCAGAAACACTTCTAATTTTCTCGAGGATTCTTCCCTTTCTCTAAATATTTCTCTCTCAAGAACTGTAGCGTACAACTTCCGTCAACCATGGCTGCCGAATCTGCTTCTGCAATTCCCAAAGGCCAAGTATGATTTAGTTCTATTAGAGATCCTTAGATTCTCGTTTTGTACGCCAATTTTCTGTTTTTTTTCCTTAAATTTTTGAAATTGTTGGAGTTGTTGGTGATGAACAGGTTGATTTGATGGACTTCATAGACTGGTCTGGCGTCGAGTGCCTTAACCAAAGTGGCAGCAACACTATTGTCAATGCCCTCAAACAGGTGAAAAAAAGATTATGTAACTTGTTAAAATTAGGGTTGTTTGTGCAAGGTTTTTTGTTTTGATATTTTAATCGAGGAATTTTACTTTGAATTTGAACTTTGGGTGAAACTAATAAGTAAGTAGATAAAAAAGGAATAGGAGATGTTGATGATGTTCTTGTTCAGTATAGTGGTCCAATGAAGTCCAGACAAATCCGTATTTGTGCATCACAAACCAAGCGGGTCCGTTAGTTGTTGAAGCCAAAAGCTCTCACTGCTAGTTTTCTCTGAACTTGTTAGTTAGTTTCTTCTGAAGCTTGAGATACCTGGTCCAAGTGCTGTAGCGAGATGCCCATATTTCGGATTTATGGATCTAAGTGACTTCCAGCATACACAGTAACATGACCAAAGGCACAATAAATTTAAATTTGGAGCTTATAGGTGGGTGTAGGGAGGATACATTATCAATGTGCATTTAGGAAGGGCTTAGACGTTTGGGTGGGTGGGTTTGTGGGGGTGG